TTCATAAATCACATATCAAATACAGACGAATTGAAGATTCTTTTTATCACATGTTCGACTATCCGGGAACGTACTGTTGAGCTGGACATAAATGTTATTATTTCTGGATTGTTTACGAGTTGTAATTTCCTGGACGTAGGTCACTTGGCCGCCTATTATAAGCAAGATTGATAGCTGATTTTTTTTTAATTCAAGTATAGCAAGCTATATATTTGTTTTCATATTGCTCGCAAGCGCTCACATTGGGCGAGTTCGATTATTTTCTTTAGTCAGGTTGTTCCATCTAATGTTGTTACATTTGTCGATCAAGACCAGACGATGTATAGTTGTGTGGTCTGTCCAAAGTGAATCAGACGCATTATGATATCTAGTTTCACTACACATGCGCAATATAATTTGTCAAAGTGAGTTCGCTCTTGATATGGTACGGATAACATATAGTTTGGTGATCGGACTCATTAACTTACATACTAAAACTAAGGTAGTTATGTACCACACATTAACTTACATATTATAACTACGGTAGATATGTACCACACATTAACATACTATAACTACGGCAGATATGTACCACGCATTAACTTACATACTACAACTACGGTAGATATGTACCACACATTAACATACTATAACAACGGTAGATATGTACCACACATTAACATACATACTATATCTACGGTAGATATGTACCACACATTAACTTACATACTATAACTACGGTAGATATGTACCACACATTAACATACTATAACTACGGTAGATATGTACAACACATTAACTTACATACTATACTTCTGTAGATATGTACCACACATTAACATACTATAACTACTGTAGATATGTACCACACATTAACTTAGATACTTTATAATGGTGGATGTGTACCACACGTTAACCTAGATAATTACTGTAGATATGTACCACACATTAACTTAGATACTTTATAATGGTGGAGGTGTACCACACGTTAACCTAGATAATATAATTACGGTAGATATGTGTCATATATTGACTTACAATGAAAACAAAACAACACAGTATGACTGTTACCTGTTTCCGTATCAACCTAACTAGCAGAATTTATTTTGATAACATGACATTGATGGTAACCACGTGTCCATCAACATTTCATATTTCCTTTTAGTTTACACTTTTAAATATCTAGTTGGTGTGGGCGTTAACGTCACAATGATTGACAGCTTTATCCTTGGTTTACCAGTGCGTATTACCTTGTCCTATACCAGAAACAGTTATATTAGTGGTGTTGTAGCAGCACGTTTTGTGTTCAGGTAAGAAAGACGCTTACATTTTAAGGAGTGTCAGGTGTATGAAAGCCAAGTCAAGACGGTCAAGAAAATACCACCACGTCAACGTAACCCAAACTCCACTTAAATAATATACGTAGACTCCTGAAAAAAGTATTAGAAGAATAAGGCCAAATATTCCGGAGGAGTAAGCGTTTTCTGCTCCATCGAAGACACCCGCCATGTAAATCTTGGTCAGCTAAAGTTAGTAATGTAACGTTTTAAAATGAGAACAAGGTATACAACAACGAAACCAACAAAACATACCTGCGACAGGTCCTTATGTTAGTCTGGAAATATCTGGAGGAAGAATCTGACTACCAATAAAGGATACGTTTTTCCCTATTAAACAAGTTATTGAACTACAAGCGTACTAGAGCCGGATTTGATAATGATCTCAAGAATTCCAACTCAGCGTTCAAAAATCAAATATTGATATCTGAGACTCGCCAATGACAGTTCGACCTCAGAATGAAGGATAGTACAGTGTTGATTAGAACTCATCGTCAATGTTTACAGAGTTTAGAGAGAATGAAGACATTAAAGACGGTAAAACGCCTTTGGCAAATAAGAAAAACACTCTTTTTCTGAATGTTACATTGAAACTGATATTTCATTGCTTAGACCGATCTTCTCTTCAGCTCAATAAGTCGAGCTTAACGCTACTAGGTCAAAGGTCACGCGTTCAATCTTCGCGAAGACATTGAAATTAATAGTGAACACCTTTCACAGAAAAAAGTTTTCCGGTTATCCTTACAATGCTGGCGACAATGCCATTCATTCTCTGGTAGGAATGACAAATATATTGGTAAATATCCTAATGAATGATAATTTAGACTGTTTAAAAGAGTAAAGTCTTCGTCAGTCGAAAAGGAAGAAAACTAAAACAAAACAAAAAAAAACCAAAAAACAAAACTAAAACAAAACAAAAAAAAAAAAAAAAAAAACAGAAAACAACACTTCTTCCTTTCCGCATATGATTTGAAAGTCTTCAGATAGAAATAACTGCACGGTGTCGGTAGAGTATTTCCCTTCCATGTATGGTTATTATGATTCTTCATATCAATCAATTAAAGTGCATTTCATGTCAGTTTGATTACTTTATTCATTAATTAACAGATGTTGGATGAAGAGCAAAAGGTCGAGAATAACGTATCAATTCTCTCCAATTTTACATGCTGTTGTTCGACATAAGGATGTCACGTGATCATTTAGTACGTCAGCCGATCAACTACTGGATGAATTAAACATGCAATAAAAATATCTGTCAAGGTGATATATCAAACTCTAAATTAATTTGTTTTCATTGTGTAATCATTTTACCACAAAACACGATATGTCAATAAAAGACATGACTGGTGTTATTCGAATTTCTATTTTTTTGTAAAGTGAGACTTTAACAAATGCAATAATTCAAACGAATCGAATTCTACGACGGAAAATCACAAAAACCAGGTATACCGAACAATATCAGTGCAGAACGCACGACACACCGACACAAGTACGTAATACATCCGTGTAAAGTACATCAAACCTGACCAGTAGGGTCTTAATCAGTGTACCCTACACTCAACACTAAACAACACAAGCAGATAATACGTCGTGTACCCTACACTCAACACTAAACAACACAAGTAGATAATACGTCAGTGTACAGTACACCAAACAACACAAGTAGATAATACGTCAGTGTACAGTACACCAAACAGCACAAGTAGATAATACGTCAGTGTACAGTACACTAAACAACACAAGTAGATAATACGTCAGTGTACAGTACACCAAACAACACAAGTAGATAATACGTCAGTGTACAGTACACCAAACAACACAAGTAGATAATACGTCAGTGTACAGTACACCAAACAACACAAATAGATAATATATCAGTGTACAGTACACCAAACAACACAAATAGATAATATATCAGTGTACAGTACACCAAACAACACAAGTAGGTAATACGTCAGTGTACAATACAGCAAACAACACAAGTAGATAATACGTCAGTGTACAGTACACCAAACAACACAAGTAGATAATACGTCAGTGTACAGTACACCAAACAACACAAGTAGGTAATACGTCAGTGTACAGTACACCAAACAACACAAGTAGATAATACGTCAGTGTACAGTACACCAAACAACACAAGTAGATAATACGTCAGTGTACAGTACACCAAACAACACAAGTAGATAATACGTCAGTGTACAGTACACCAAACAACACAAGTAGATAATACGTCAGTGTACAGTACACCAAACAACACAAGTAGATAATACGTCAGTGTACAGTACACCAAACAACACAAGTAAATAATATTTCTCTCCGAGATGTTTCATCATTGCTGATTGTCAGTATTTTTTCACGAAACCTCACAGAAAATTCACAGATTTTACTATTCAAAGTGGAGTCAGCGAATCGTGATGGAACCTTCCCTTAAGACGTTTTGCTCAATTCAGGATAGTTGTGGGCCCCATCCTTTGTGGATCCTCGGCAAAGAATATCCAAGTTTCACGTGGAAACTTGGAGAACTGATTAAATTGTCGTATCGTTATATGACAGAACCCGTTAATTGTAAATTGTGTAAAAGACATGTCGACGACACAGCAGTACATTTCCTTATTCAATGTCCATATTTGTTCACAAGCCGAGACAGATTACTTGAGTATTATGTCAATTTCCTAGATGTCCACGAATACGTGGCTTTCGATAACTTGGAAGACCAGCAAAAGACTAGCTTCATTCTCGGAAGTAAGCAGGATTTAGCACTTGATTACGAAAGATGGTCGGTTTTGATGCTGAACACTGCGAAATTTGTATATATTATGCTCTGCGAAATGAACACTTTAATTGAAATTTAACTCTGCAAAATGAACATTTTCTTTCTGTAGAATTATCTCTAATATGTAATTATATCGACAAACATATGTACTGATGAAATCTCTGCAAAGAGGAAATAAAGAAAGTCAGTCAGTCAGCTGTTTACGATGCCGTTACATCCTTGTTTCTATTACTTAAGACAACTTCTTTGTTAAAGCACAGCTGTAAAAACTTATGTGTCAACAATGCTTCAGAATTCATTGTCCTACGTTACAGATGTTTGAATACATGTTATTCGTTTTAACATCAAAAGTCTCAGATAATTAACAATGAAACAATCACTTCTCTGTTTTAACGGAAGTTCGCTTCAACATAAACAGGTATAATTACATTCAAATATGTATCGGTGACGTCGAGTCTAACCCTGATCTAATTCTAGTTCATTTGCATAATTAGAGTCAGGGCTTCAATACACATAATTATGCATAAATTTAAATCCAATATACTGAATAGAAAAGCGGATTGGTTGAACATTAATACAAAATACGGAGACAGGTTTCATTAATCAGAAAAGGCACGGATTACACGACGCTAGTATGGTAAGGCGATATTGATAAAGATGTTTAATATTTTCAGTATTAAAAGTATTAAATTATAGATATAGTAAACTATAACAGTAGTATTAATAAGTGTATAATTTTGTAATTATTTTCTCTGTAATTATGATAAATGATTAATCTTTGACTCAATTACCAATGTAGGTATGGCAAAACTTATGACTGATTATAGGGTAGTTGACACAGGTGACTATAAGTATGGTAAATGTCTGAAAAAATCAATAATAAATAAAGTATATGTATAATAGACATAATGTACTATATGCAGGTAGGTATAAGACAGACTGTAATATGATACTTAAATCATTTTAAAATTTCTAAACTCTACCGTACCTACATGATATATCATTCTATATATCATTGTTTTATCGAGTACAATGTAAATACGACGTTACACAACTTTTTTTATATTATACGAGATAAAACTAGGTTGAAGTTTTTCATTGCGAATTAAAATGAAAAATCAAGTTTCAGGAGTCAAATTTGAAATAGAAGCAAATTGAAGTATTGTTTAGTATAAAATGGTAAGTTTTTTGATAAACATCGCAGAAAACTATCTTTTTCCTTTAAATAATATCACATGCTGTTACGACTCAAATTTAACAATGCTAACTGCTGGTTTTTTTTAACTCGTTACTGTTAAATAATTAATTTTCGATTGGGATTTATTTTCGATAACTTTGTGGTTACCAACCCATGAATTTACAGTACCTATTGGCGTCACTAAAGTCGATAACGGCTCATACGGAGAAATATTACATCGGTGTATTCGCTTAGTTACATAAAATTGACATATTTAATTTATTTTTTTTAATTTCTTTATTTCATATCATTTTAAAGTTCTATAGCTATAATGGAAGTCTTATTTTCTACTGAGCTTAGTGATATGTATTGTTGGAACTACCTTATCTTACCTCTTGGTTTAATTCCACTTAACTACATTTCCATGGGTCTTAGTGTAAATCATTCGTTTGTTCATTAAATTCCATGTTTTCATTGAATTTAGTTTCAGAAGGTTTCAGAAGTGGTATGATATTACAGAAACATACTATTAGACTGATTACTGATTAATGTCAGGTATTCTCTTTCACTTTTCAGGCTGTAGGCATTTTCTCCGTGGTACTTTGTGCCATTATATGCATTACCCATATTTCGTCTGTCGTGTGTTTTGACAAGATATCAGATCTTCAGATCCCCACGCATGAGAAATACCTGTACACCTGTGGTGATAAAGGATTGTCGCTTGGGAAGGTCACCAAGGAGCAAGAACAGCAAAACATCATCTCTCTCATTGAGTGTCTAGGCAATGGAGGAATACAAAAAATAGCACCAAAAATGAAACAAGAAAAAGCGAATAAATTCAGGGAGGTGTTACGTCAGATGAAAACAGGTCACTGGAGACTGAGGCGACAAGTATCGAATGAAGTACAGCCACGGAAGGAAGTCAGGATGCTTTCACCCGCGGAGTGGCAAATTCTGAAAATTCGATTGAATTCAGTGAGGGAGAGTGGTGTAAGTGTACAACTTTATCCTTATTTTTTCGTAACGGATATGGTGAAATTGATACATACATAAATACCACTTATGTACAGGAACACACATTTGCGCGCAAATAAACACCCCTTCCTTTCAATCACATTTTAGAATTCTGTGACAATATACAACAAATACATAACGCATCATATGTTCTATTGCAATGATGTTAATGCCACGCCCCTTTCGTTATTTAGGTTGGTTCACAGGAAACCATACCTGAAGCCGGAGTTAAGAATCTAAGTTTATAACCCATTGCCAGAAACTTGTTGACAATTTTCTTCTGGACAATTTCATTTTAAGGGACTGATTGAAGAAATATTTCTGAAGTAAGATAAAGTTTCAATGTTTAATGTGAAGTCCTCGCCTTATTCTTTAAACAGTTTTACCAGACCATTGTGGATTTCTTCTCTGATGAAAGTATTGCCGGAACCAATGGCGGACCTGCCTTCCTGGGTTGGCACCGCGTCGCTTTATTATGGTAATCATCAAACTATATACACAAAAACAGTGTTAACTGTTGAATATATGACATACAATCCGATCTTTAAATATCTTAAGGCAACACATACAATAGTATTTGAATTGAATGAGAAAATGGGAGCTGTCAAGGTCCCAGTTTTAGACTGATGCTGAGAAAAATGTGTTGAGGGGATTTAATGCTTGTAAGGAAAACAACAGGACATGTATTTGACACTGATAAAGAAAACGACATTTCAATGGCTACTGTTAAAATAATTTAATTGGTAATTGATGATGAAAAACAATAATACAAATTTGTAATGTATGCTATGTTACGGCTATAAATCATTACTTTTCTTCTGGAATAAATACAGCAGTTTGTTATAGATTTATTTAAGACAATGTTTATCTGTACCACAAGTTGCGGTTGTAAATTGCAGTTTGTGCTAAAGATAAGAATCTTCCTTTTAAGCTTAAATATTTACCTATATTATACCTATATATAAATATACCTTTATTTCAGGTTGGAGTTTTACCTCCATGTACCGATTCCCTACTGGGACTGTACATTGGATTTCCATATAACAGACCCAACAAAATCGATTTTATGGACGAAAGAATATTTCGGAAATGGAGAAGGAACTGTAAGAGTTGGTCCATTTATGAATTTTACTGAATCGGATGGAACTCCAATAACAAGGCGAATAGGACAAGCTGGCTCATTGATCGCTCGTGAAAACGTCGACTCGTTGATGACAAGGAAAAGCAACAGAGAGCTTGTGTACACGACCAACATTGCTTTAGAGGAGTATCACAATGGTGTTCAGGCGTGGGTGGGAGGCAGCATGTCGGGGCTTCTGACAGCTCCTTCTGATCCTATCTACTTCTTCCATCAGTGCTATATAGATAAATTATGGGAAGATGTTCGTCAGAATATGAAAGCCGCGGAAGATTATCCGTTTGATCCTGCTATCACTAATCCGCTACAGAATCCAGAATATGTTCTGGCCAAGTTTCCTTTCGATAGCCGATACCCTCTAGCGAACAGTGATTCCTACACCAGACATGTATCTGCTCGTGCTCATTATAGTTCGTCTCCAGCCCAGGCAACACAGGCTTGGGAGTGCAAGAATCCTGTGTTGAAACGTAAGCACGTGCTGGTATGGGACACGGATCGACAATACTGTGTGACAGGACAAGGAAGCGAGAAAGATTTCCATATCATTCCGGACTTACACACCAGTGCTAAGATAGTAGTGTCTACATTAAATTCACCTATGAATTTCCCACTTGATTCGCCGTTCAATTCTCCACTCCCTAAAAAACCAAAAATAAAATATGTAGCACCATTAAAAGATATTCGCGCAATATATCGCGCTGGCAACTCCATGAAGAAAATGAAAGAAGCACCAAAAATAATATCTTCTGTTCTGGAAGCACTTTCATCGCGACTTAAAAATGATGAACTTGATCGAGTCAAAAGCCAAACACAGAAGTCTTTCTCAACATCACAGCAATCTGTCGTTCTCCCTAACAATCATGTAAGTCCCGATAGCAGAATCTTTGATCATCCGGGCATGTCATTTGGACGAAGACCTCGAGTTGTTGCAGTGTTAGCCCCACCCCGTGCAAGTCGCATACATAAACCATTTAACACTCCTATGAGCCAGCCGCAGTCATTCCTCTCCCAATCACCATCAGAGTTGTCAAGTATTGCTTTCAAGCTTTTCCAGTCACCAGCAGTGGATCAGCGGCGTTCAGCAGTTCGTGCGCCTTCAGTAAACCCTCATCTGTTAAACAAGAAGTTTGCCGTTTCGAGTACAATCAATGTGTTGGAATCTTTATTAACTCGTCTTAGATCCATGCCGCGTTGATTCTGAAATAAGAATTAAAAGAAAAGTCAATATGAAGGAAGAACAAACTGACATTTGATAACAAATCTGCTCGCGTAACCTGACACTTGACTGTAACATCTATTTAAATCTATACCCGTGTTTACATAGATCAGTATAAAGACTGTGAAGCACAAGCGACATAGTAACTCGTTACCCTAAGTCTGAACCATCGTTAAAAGTATGGCCAGATGAGAGTGTCACAGGAACTCCATGAGCTTTATCTCAGTTTGTTAATATACTAGTATCCATATGCAAATTAACTAATAAATTATGTTGTGTTGGTAGCTTTTTTCTTCTTCTTTTCGCAAATCATAGATATTACAGAATTGTTCATGTCCAATTTTAGAGCACTTTGTTAAATAAATCAACAGTATGCTCATACTAATACTAAAATATTATCAAATGTTAGTTCCTTATTACTTCCTTTATCCCGTTCACACGGAGATGTCAGATCGATGTTAGATAATTGTGATGTCATTTCTTTTATCTGTTTGATACTGAGATATCTGATCGAGGGCAGATAATTGTGATGTCATTTCTTTTATCTGTCTGATACGGAGATATCTGATCGAGGGCAGATAATTGTGATGTCATTTCTTTTATCTGTCTGATACTGAGATATCTGATCGAGGGCAGATAAGGGTGATGTTACTTTCTTTATCTGTCTGATACTGAGATATCTGTTCGAGGCCTGATATGGATGATGTTACTTTCTTTATCTGTCTGAGACAAGATATCTGATAAAGGGCCATTTATCAGTCTTTAATATCTGATGGAGATTTGATAAGGGTGGTATCAAAACAGTCATCACATCATATTTTATCTCACATTTTGGAAACAAAATGAAATGGGTAATCTTTTAAAGTCAAATTTTAAAATATCAAAATTATCATAAAGAGCTGTCATATGTTTGATGTGCTGTAAACGGAGGCGTATATTAGTTAAAATATTCGGTTGAAGTGGTATCGATCTAAGTTGGCGAAGATCCTATCATCAATCCGGAAACTGATATGACAACGCAAACAGCGCCACTATAACTTGGGCCAAATGCGTATCATCAGTGTGAATAAATGTCTTTTAAATTTTGTTTTATTACAATGATTTCTAGTGATTCTTATTAACTTGTTTAAATTAAATGATATTCTATGGTTATTTTATTGAGAATCTTGTCAATTTATCAAATACCGACGTCAGTTATTAGTACATTGAGTGACAGATAATGAGCCAATTTGACAGGCCTACAACCATATCAACTTAACACAATCTAATCCTGTCACTACTAAGGACAAGTTTTAGTCCCTACCTGATACAGAATGCTAGAAGTAAATACAAAAAGATAACAATGTTTATGGGATGTAACTCCATCGAACGTAGTCACGGAGAACATACACTGTCATAAATTAAGATTAAATCGTAATTAATTAATTCATCTGGTAAAAGAACAAAGGCTTTTGACACGATGACATGAACTATAAATTCGTTTGTCGACAGTAGGAACACGGATGTTAATTTAACGATGATGACTATAAAACTGTCTTTAACCCCACGCAAGGGACACCATCATTAAGTCCATCACATACCGTACATCTGTCATATATCTTTATATATAAAATTATACATATTTACTGTAATTTCTGTATTTCACCTTATAGTCTCATGGTTACTGCAAAATTATTAACTTTAGTTGGGAATTTATTTTCGTTCATGTATTGAGTGTCCTTGGTCCACGAACTCGTATGTTAACGAAATGCCAGATAAGTATTAGATTTATTGAGTTTTGTTTATCAATGAAATCAAGTGTCCACGAAACAGTAATTGTGAATAGATATATGTTATGTTTGTAATTACTTGCAAGCGCATGTTACGGTTATTAGTACATGTACTACATTCATACAGTATGTCCTTTGTGGCCATTCCTATAACTGTAGTTGTGACTGCGCATGCTTATATATTCTGTTTTTAGCCTCCATGCTGGAATAAAGAAACATGTGCTTATACACAAACTTGATGTTATTCCTGAATGCTAAACACACAGACGCTACAATATACACGAAAATTCGGCCCAAAGAAAATATATTATTTTACTACATGTATACATCATCAGTGTTATATGGTGGAACAAGCTAGATGGTTTCAGGCCAGGATTTGATATCCCTAATCAGCCACCTCTGGAGGTTTTAATAAACAGCGCCGAAACAACAAAGGATAGAGGATCCACCTGAAGATGGAACCGCCTGACATCAGTAACATCAAGATGTATGATCGTAATCTTATTCTGAACATTCAGTGACTGACGGTAAAAGCCGTCTGACGACTGCGAAAGGGCAGTGGCGACCTGGATAGACAAGATACAGCCAGGAAAGTCTAAGCACTAGGGTGTGGAGGTTTAGCACACCGAAGCGCATCTTCCATGAAAAGGAAACTACTTTAATCGCTACGAACCAATACATAACAAGACATTGAATATTGCTACAACTATGAGCAGTAGAGTGTGCAGTTGCGTTAAAGTGTGCAAGAATGAGCGGGTGCTGAATATCCATAATGCCAAGATGGGCTGTGCAACAACTCTGAGTCAGGCACAACATACAGATGAATCTGGTGAGACGGAGGAGGAGGAGATCCGGGATGACCACCACAGTGATCCCGGCCTCATTGTACCCTGGGAAGAGGAGGAGCGCAGCGAAGAGGATGAACAAGGCATTGTGCACGATAGAGAAGAGGAGCAGAAAAGACACACAGCGAGCAAAATTAAGGAGGAAAAGGCAGCGTTGCAGGAAGGTGACCAACGAACAATAACACATTGACATGGGAGCAGTTCGACAAGGATGTAGATATTATACTCAACACCGCATTAGCTGGCAATATGGACAGGAATGTGGAGGCAATGACAGCAATCATGTATAACATCAGTATGGGTAGGTTTGAACTGGAAAAGCAAGAAACGTCAAGAGAACAAATAGAAATCGCCAGGAGGAAAGGGATATCCACTATCAGGAGGGATCTCAGGGCTTTAACAAAGCAGTTCAATAGAGCATATAAGAATGAGAAGGCTGTACTGTCTGAATTTCGGGTCAATCTGAAGGAAAATCTTGATGATTCTGCGCGGGGCGGGGAGGAGTAGACGCCGAAGGAAAAATAGAATGAGTATGAGGGCTTTGTTTTTACATCAAATCAATACCACTTTACAGCACGATTATTCGGAAAGAAGTGATCGGGAAGATGGACATGTAAGAGAGAGGAAACGGAGATGTACAGTGACCCGAGTCGTAAGGAAGTTCTTGAATATCTTGACATTCTGATGACACCAGATAATCCAACAGATCTGTTAGACGCCAGTGAACCAAAGTGCATGGAGGTTATGTCGGTAGCTAGTCGGCAAGAGCGGCATCAGCGCCTGAGCTGAATGGTATACCATACAGAATGTATAAGAACTGCCCAAGGCTTACAAGGCGATTGTGGTAGCCTGGCGGAGAAAAAGACTGGCAGACAGCTTGCACTATGCAGAGGGATGTTTTATTTTGAAGGAAAGGGGGCTGGGGCTTTGAAACGTTAGGGCCGTTCAGGACCATTTTCTTTACTAAATGAAGGGAGAAAATCTTCCTGGCAATTCTAATAAAGTGCATAACAGACTACATGCTGAGTAACAAGTATATTGACATCAAAGTCCACAGAGGTGGTGTGACAGGAGTATCTGGGTGTGTTGAGCACACAAGTCATTCGGGAAGCGAAGAAGAGGAAGGGCGATCTTGCAGTTATGTGGTTTGATTTGACAAACGCCTTCGGATCATTTCTACACAAGATGGTTAACCCCCGAGAGGTACAAGGTGCCAGTGAAATTTCGCCCCGTGCAGGAAGAATACTACAACTAATTAAAGATGCAATTCATTGCTCAGGACTATACAACATCATGGCAGCGCCTAGAAGTCGGAATCGCCACTGGATACACAATATCTGTTATTTTGTTCTCTACTGCAATGAATTTAATGGTGATCTCTGTCGATTAGATGAGCCGAGGACCATACATGGCTTTAGGTATATGACAGCCACCACCAAAGGCCTTTATGGATGACATGACGATAGCCACCAAAACGGTGGTGAAGCCAAAATGGACATTGCAAAAGCTGGAGACAGTGATCACATGGACAAATATTACTCACGCAGACACATTTGCATCAAGGAAAATAAAGTAAAGAAAGAAGGTGAAAGTTAAAGTTAATTTCACTTCTGTATTTGCTATTTTGCCACCCAAGCTTGATTTTATAATTTTTTTCATACATAAAAGCACAAGGTAAGAAAGAGCTTGGAAAATATCTTTAAAGAAAGATGTGTAAAGAACTTAAAAAGTTGTATTAAATACATATTTGGCAAATTGTAAGGCTTTAGTGTTTACTACTGAATATTAAGTTGAATGAAATTTCTCCCCTTACTCCAGGTATTAGTAAATTTTGCTTTTGCAAAATCTTTTTAACATTTGATAGATTTTTCTGTATGTTATTGTACTCCTGATCTATACCATCATTTGTAGAAAATAGGTTTACCTGTGATATTTATATATTTATTATGACAAATGCACTTTGTCAAGAATGATCTTTTTTGTAATTCTTTTATTTCACTAGAATTATCAAATTTGTACCTGGCAATGAAAACATTCTCCAAAAATTATTTATTCTTAAGCTAGTACATTATAATACATATTCACCACCAATATTTAATCAATGTTTAAAAGACCAATATCAATATTCTCATTTGAAATATATTTCCATTTTCTTTCAGTACTGTACAATCTTCTTAACCATCCTAATTTAAGAGAATTTATGAAAGCATTTAAATTTTCATGTTATGAACAACAATGTTTCTTTTCATATAAGAACATATTAATGTCTTTTATCGTCTTTTCACATGGATTTGAAAGAGTCATAAATAAGTGGTTAAATTGGGATATCATCAATGACTTGATGATATGAATTTTACCCAAAGGC